TTTTGTAAGTCGCTCACTGACCTTAAAAAAATAACCTAAAAACCCAACTTAATATTCCGTATGCAATGACAGAGCAGACATATTACTAGTGCACTTTTGTTTTCTTGATCCAGGAAGAGAGTATGTACGAGACTGTTGACATTCCTAACACAGACAAGAGCACTCAGATGAAACCTATCAACAGACCTGAAGTCCCAAAGAGCCAAGAACATACAGTCTATGGGAATATATAGCCCAGTGTGGACCAGTCACATGGACTCTGAGAATCTCTGATCCTACACAGCAAAATCCCCAGTGTTAAATTAACACTGCTCAGTGTTTATATGAGTCCACACTCTCATTATGGGGATTGGTGTTTAGTTTAGTTGGGCTCTTGACCCGTACATTATTTTAGATTTTGTTTGGCTGCTGTAATTCAGTTATAACAGCCAGATGAACAAAAAAGGTGTTCTGATCGTGTTGGTTGTGTTTAACATTATTTGGCTTGAATCACTGAGAGCATAATTTCAGAGTTAAGTTGAAGTGCATGGTTTCCTTTTAACAAAATTTGATAAATTCATGACATAAAACTCTAAACCCTATGTAGTTAGTAGATTTTTAGTACATTTAAACAGCATGCTTTGTTTTATGTTTGGTTATCCTAAACCCACAAAATGTCAGCCTGTGAAACTGTACACACTAACGTACAAAGAAACTATTTAAAATGATGTCTTAAGAATAAAAGATTAAAAACTAAATTGTGGGTTTAAAGTCCCCGTGAACCGGAAGTTGCAAACGATTTTTCTCCAGTGCTGTGACGTATTTCCAAGTGAAACGGAATATTGAACAGAGGGCAGGGTTTTACTCTAGCGCTCCTCCTCTCCATCTCTCGCTCATAGCAAACTAACGGTTTGAGGGGAGTGGTTAAGCGTTTCCCCACCCAAGTTGTGAAACCTACGTCATCAGAAAAAGAAACCGTTCCAGACCGGAAGTAACTTTTCAGATTTTGATGAAAGATTACCAAGGTAAAACATTTTTTAAATATATTTTTACTTGCACGGATTAATTGTTCACCACAAGACTAGTAATATGCGCTAACAAAGTAAATAGGTTCAATTTTGATTTCACGGGGACTTTAAAATTGTAGTCTCCACTATGGTTTGCTGTATAAGGATCCAGTTGCTCAGACAAAGCAGAATGAATGTATTTCCGGATCAGTCATTCTGGATACTATACTCTGTCTCCCTTTTGAAGGCTATTAAAAGCATTTTCCTATGTATATCCCATGTCCAATTACTGTATTAGGATTGTAGAATTGTATTTTATTGCTCTCATATGTATTTTTCTCCTTTGTGTGATTTTTAAAAAATATGTTATGTATTTAGTTTATTTTGGTAAAGTTCATTTGTTGTGGTTTTTGTTATGTATCTTAAAATGTATAAATAAATAAAAAAATAGAAAGACGCCATGTTGTCTCGTTGTCCTGACAGACGATCAACTTACCTCAACATTAACACTCGAAGTAACATTAAAACTACTCACCCTTCCGTGGTCAAACTGAAGAAACGTAAACTTGAATATGATGTTAAATCAGTTCTGAAGCTTTACTTGGTTTTCCCCGTCATTTTAATCGGAAAAACTCAAACTGCAAACCCCGGTGAGTTGTGGAGGAGTGAAGCTGCGCGCGTTCTCAGTCAGCAGTTCTCTTCTCACGCGCCGCTCGGTAGGTTTCAGCTCCCTCTAGTGGTTGAGTTTAACAAAACAGCAGTTTACTGCCAAGTGCCAAAGTTTTAAAAATTCGGTTATTATTAATAATAGAGAATATGCATTATGAGCACATGACTAATAAATTATGAAATACAATTAATTATTAATAAATACTCCAGATTTCTTCATGGAGGTGACTGGGTTTAGTTTTAACACTTTTTATTTTGGTGTTTCTCTATAGGTTAATTTTTTACATATTTTTAGTAATTTACTAAAGACACACAAGAAGTACCTGATATTAACTGACAAATCTTACACTTTTTATTAGCACAGGAAATGGCATATACATTCTGTAAAGAGAGCTTTGCAGGACAGGTGGAGCCTCCTTTGGCCCGCGGATCAGGTTGTAACTTGTAGCCTACATGTGTTTGCTTGTTTGGCTTAAATGTATCAGAGATCAAACTAAGATAGAGCACCAAATACTTAATAAAAAATCCACACTCAAAATGTAATCGTGATTAAATGAAACACAAGAAAAGTTTGTATTTTAGTCTTGTTTAGATACGATTTCAGATGCAATTCAAGAGTTGAAAAATGTATTATCTGATGCTGCTGTAAATCACAGACAAATCCTTCTCCTGGCTTGCAGTAGATCTGCAGAAATAACAAATTCATAATTAACTGAGAATTAGATCAACACAGAGCGTAAAACCTGCTGAAGCCGAAAATATATCATTTTTAAGGTTTTTAATACTTCTATCTATTATATACTTAATGTGCTATTTTCTATAAAGACATTGAGAAAAGTAGGCTTCTCTGCGAATAAAACTGACTCATAAATCAGAACAAAAACAGTTTTTGCTCACTTGGCTTCAGTAGCACGATGGGGAAATGTAATGCTGGCATAATGAATCTCATCCTCTTCAGGTTTCTTTGTGTCTGTATTTCTGCCATCTTGAATAGACGCATTTTTACCACCACCAGATTCTGAGGTCTTTTCTGTCGACGGCTGCAATACAATCATGTGGCATACATTTAAACTTACAGCAAGCTGTAAACATTCTCTTTTCGTACACATTATCATTAAATGTGGAGAGGTGAATCATAATAATTAACATGCAACTCTACAGAACGTCATTAATTAATGAGCGTATGTTACCATTCATACATAAAAATGTCCAAAAATAATATTTATGTATTTGAATTGCATGTAAAATTTCCCAACCTCCTGTCGCCGAGCCATCGTTCAGTGTGAACGCTGTTCTGTGAAAAGAACAGAGAGCCGACTACTTTGAAAATCGTGCAGTCTGAGCTCGGCTGTGTCTGAAGTCAGTTGTAGTTCTTGTGTTTCTCTTTCCGCTTGTTGACAGCAGGTGTTCATAATTAATGCTCAATCACCACGCCCTGTTTACACGAGAACGCTCACGGGTGAAAACGTAAAAATATTTTATCGGATGTGACTTTCATTTACACAGTGACAGCGTTTTGGGGGCTTAAAAAACGCAAAAAGAAGTGGAAATCTTAAAAACGCTCCACCGCCGTGTGCGGTAGTGCTCCACATCGCCACCTAGCCGTCTGGAGTGCACACTACATTGAATTTCACGCACTTTTGCGTCACCACGCGGATTTCCCACCCAAAACGCTCGTCTAACGCAGAATAAAAAGTGGTAACGCAACGCCACTTTTGCGTTTTCTCTTCAGAATCGTTTCCGTGTAAACCTCATTATCTTCATCTCTGCTTCAATGGTACTTTAACTCTGTAGTGTGCATACATATGAACACTGAGCAGTGTTAATTTAACATGAGCGTTTTTTTGTGTACTACTAAATAAATCTTACCCGTTTCATTTACGTATGACTGACAAATATGAATCACATTCAGTTTATTAATACAATTATATAAATCGTATCCGTTTAATTTATACATCAAAATATGTTATAAATTGGTTTAGCTAACAGGGAACGTTCCCAGAACATTCACTAACGTTCTTTAAAAGTTGTGTAAATGTTAGGACAAAACGTTATTAAAATAATGTTTTCGGAACGTTCATATAACGTTATTAACGTTCTTGTAACGTTGAGAGAAAACGTTCTTAGAACAACTTTCTTGGAACGTCTTTATCACGTTATTTGTATTTGATGAACGTTCTCATTACGTTGATAAAAAACGTTCTTAGAACAACGTTATCGGAACGTCTTTATCACGTTATTTGTGTTTGATAAATGTTCTCATAACGTTCCAGCAACATTATGCTAACCTTAGGATAACGTTCTAACAACATTATGCTAACGTTCCAGCAACGTTCTGCAAACATTAAGACACCGTTCCAGCAACGTTAAGCAAATTGGACATTTCCACGTTTTTAGAACATTTTAAATTAACGTTCCCACAACCAAAATGGAACGTTATAGAAAAACGTTCTCCGAACCTAACTTTGTTAGCTGGGTTAAAACTATGTAATTTGAAATGCAATTCAAATACACAAATCTTAATTTTTAAAAAGAGTGTAAAGTTTTAGAGACATCAATGAGCAATTGTCCATGCTGTACATTACAAAGTTAACACCAGCTTTTAGAAAAGGACAAAAAATTGTCAGCAGAAAAGTCTGTGATGTATAATCAATGAAATATTCAGTGATTAATTTCAGCTGAATCTCACCTGCTCAAGGACTTTAGGGTCATTATTTCTTCTCTTATTCCTGTTTGTTGAACACATACGGATAAATGCACGTATGAGTCGTTAAAACCGTAACAGACTGTCTTTTATGCAAAAACAAATGGCTTGCCCCAAAAAAAAAAAACATTTGTAGAGAAACTAGAATGTCACATTAAAATAGTTATTGTGTATTTTCACTGATTAGGACTAAAGATATCTCAAAAATAACCATTTTGGGTGTGGATTTATGAGTTAACAAACTTACAGAATAGTTCAAGTAATATATATATATATTCTCACTAACCTTTTGAATCCAATGTTGAACCCAACCATGTGAAACAAGAGCCCAAACCCAACTGCAACTGCAATAGCGGCAAAAACAGCGATGATATGCATATTATTCCAACCCGATTTCTGAACACCTAAGAGGAAAGACAATGCAAGTAAACATGTAATGATAAATTAGGCGGTGAATGAACTTCACCCATAATACATTTAAACATGATGAGCGCAGGAGTGTCCTGAATACCGTTAACAGTGAGAGACACAGACGCTGATCTCCCAGATCCATATTTATTCTGAGCCTCACAGTAGAAGCGTCCACTGAAACTGGAGTTAAAGCTGGAGATGCTGAAACTCTGTCCAGATCCAACAGCTGAGGTTTCATTCTCCTTAAACCAGCTGAAGTTCAGAGCCGGAGGGTTTGAGTCACTGATGCACTTCAGAGTCACTGAATCTCCCTCCACTATTACACCAGATCCATTTATCAACACTGAGATGCTCTGAGGAGGATCTGAAAGAGAAAAAAAAAATGTTTTTGCATAACTTGCTTTAACCAGATGATTTGACTCACATTATGAACTCACACATGACATTCAGCATCACAGCATCAGAGTCTTTCTCTCCATGTGTATTTCTGGATCTGCACTTGTATTCTCCACTGTGATCAGAGCTGATGTTTGAGATGCTGAAGATTCTCCCAGATCCTACAATCGTTCCTCCTTTAATCCAGTTTATTTCTGCAGGAGGGTTTGAGTCACTGCTGCAGTTCAGAGTCACTGAATCTCCCTCCACTATTACACCAGATAGACTGATGGACACTGAGACGTTTCTTGGTGCGTCTGAAAGAGACAAAAAGTGTCAAATGACACGATAATAGAGCAAATAATCATCCCGACCTGGTCTAAAATCAAGGCAGACTTACACATGACATTCACTGTCACAACAGCAGAGGTCAGAGATCCATGTTTATTTCTGGCAGAGCAATGATAGTTTCCACTGGCCTCAGATTTAATATTAATGAGGCTGAAGGTGTCGCCAGATTGCAGAAATTTTCCTTCCTTAAACCAGCTGAAGTTCAGAGCCGGAGGGTTTGAGTCACTGCTGCAGTTCAGAGTCACTGAATCTCCCTCCACTATTACACCAGATGGACTGATGGACACTGACACGCTGTGAGGAGGATCTGAAGGGAATAAAAACATGTTATCTTTATTCGTGTCATTTTGGAGACCGAATACTGCTTTTTGTGATAAGTAGTCCATACTCACACTCGACGCTGATGCTGACAGCAGGAGAAGGCAGATGTTCGTGTCCTCTGACGGCACAGCTGTATCTGCCAGAGTCACTGCGGACTGCCTGAAACTGAAGGGTGTCGCTGGTGAAGTTTAAAGCCTGTCCGTTTTTGTACCAGATGAATCTGTCGGACAGATTGCAGGAGCTTCTACATGTCAGATTGAGCGTTTGTTTCTCCAGCACCAGCGGTGGAGCCTGAACCTGAAGGCCTGGAGGAAACACATCTTTCTTAACATGTCCTGAAACTAACAACTTTCTGTTAAATAAATAAAGGAAATGAAGGACTAAGTGGATTACCAGAAACGTGAAGTTTAATTCCTGGTTGACCAGACCATCTGTTCATATCAGTTATCATTCTGAAACGATACTCTTTCTTATCGTTCTCAGTGACGTTGTTCAGTCTGAGGACGGCAGTTTTGTTTAGTCTGTCGTCAAAGTATTCAACCCTGTCTTTATACTCTGGATAGTCTTTTAAACTTTCCATATTTACATTTGGTACTTTTAACCAAAATGTATCTGTGAGTGTATGCCCCTGAGGGTATCTATATGTGCATGACATGTTTACTGAGGATCCTTTGAGGACACACATTGATTTAGATTTATAAATCACATTCCAGTTTTGTCCAAAAACTCCTGCAACACACACACACAAAAGTGTCAAAACTTGTATTTTTGCTGAAACTTGTATTTTGGCACAAGTTAAATAATATCAATCAGTGAAGTGAGTGAGAAGCGTGTTAAAATGTCCTGCAAATGACTAAAAGGTGCTGCAGAAAAGCTGAGATGATCATTACGACACAGAAAGGTAAAAACTGAAAAGAGTCACATCAACATGAACTCCAACTAAGACTCCAATATGATCACAGAAGGCAAAATAATAATCGTTTAATTAAAATATCAACTGTTCTGCTAACACCCACCATTACACGAACTTTAGCCACACCCTTTCTCTTAAGCCCCGCCTTCTAAAGTGATGTAAGCCAATCTGACGTCAACAAGCATTACAGCACGGGCTGAGAGCAGCTCTGATTGGCTGAAAACGTCAAGCTCCCCAGATGAGCTACTTACATAAGGGATATTTGATGTGTGCTATTACACAAAATAAAAATATATAATAAAGTTTTGTAAAAAGGGACTCACCAGAGATCACGAGTAGATAGATGAGAAGAAAAGCAAAAGCCATTCTGACACCAAACTTCACAGACGATAGCTTCACATAGTTGTATATTATGTAACAATCTGTTAGGTAATGTTAGTTATGCACATTAATAGCAGGAAACTCAACTTTACTTAAAAATGATTCTGTCGTCCAACAAACAGAGGCTTGTGTTTGTCAATTAAAGACTTTTATTATATCTGAGATCCGATGGTCACTTCACAGTGATCATCTTTAATCCTGAACTGTGACTCTATTGTGTTTAGCAATAAAGCTTAAATAAAAGTTTGTTATTTTCTACAGAGAACAAATCTTTAATCATCATAACAGTTCTGAATAAAAGCTTTTTAACTTCTTTTGAAGATCAGCTACCAAAATATATCCATTCCAACATTCAGTGTTTACATATTTACAGACTTTAAATGTAATTTTGCAAACTGTTTATTAATACGTAAAAGCGTTCATACCTTGTCATAGAAGCTTTCATCACAAGCACACAAAGAGCAAATGTTGAGTTTGGAGGCTGAACGAGTTACGCTGAATAACTTTGAATATGGCTGAAATAACTTCCAGATATGCAAATGTGTTTTCCATGTAACTGACAGAGACAAAAACTTCTGCATATTCAGAAAGTGACCTTCTGCTTTTACTGTAAATGTCACCTCAACACCATTTTACTTGCATTACACATCACACATTGTTTCAAAAGAAGCTTTATATGTTTGTCTTTATCTAAACAGGAGATCTGAGCTGTTGATCACAATGTTAAATGAAAAACATACAAGCAACAAAGCAAAAAGCATACATATACACTCATGCATATATTGAGAGAACACACCTCTCACATGATTTATAGCATTAAAGCTTTTGGTCACATTAAGTTAAAGCAACAGGTAGCACGCCTATATTCATGTATACATTCATGCATACACATAACAAATAAGTAGTCACATGAAAAAAAAACAGTATTACAAAGTCACAAAAAAGGTATTCATTTCATGTTTCATGTAGTTTGCTATTAGCAGGAGAATCGCTCCTATGGAGATTTCAAAAAGTGTAAGCCCACATCTACCAAAACTGCTAACGAAATGCCAAGTAACAATAACAGAGTCTCACAGACAATTAACCATTAATCAAAGTTTTGCAAGTGTAACTCCTTCTGGAAAAAAAAGGGAAATTTAATATCGCAAAAAAAAAAAAACAACAACAAATACATACAAAAACAATACTCGCCTCTGAGGAATACAAGACGTTAAATTAACTTATTTTTGTAGTCACCCCAAATGCGAACAACGTTAGATGACATATAAGTTATAGCTTAAGTAAACGTTAACACTAGTGAAACTAGCTAGCAGCATATGTGTGTCCATGGTCCAGTAAGTTATACGTTAACGTTAATATTGTGACGAGCGGCTCGAGTTGTTCGCCACATGTACGTGACTCTATTAAGAGTTAAGTTAACGTTAGCCTTAATAGGAATGATGGAGGCTATTTATAAGTTTACATACACTTTAATTACCACTAATGAAACTAGCTAGCTGCATATGTGTCCAGTAAGTTATACGTACGTTAACATTACATACTGTGACGAGCGGCTCGAGTTGTGCGCCACATGTACTTCTGTAAAGAGTTAAGTTAACGTTAGCCTTAATGATGGAGGCCATTTTGATGTGGTCATTTTGAGTGTTAACAATGCGTTAAATATTTGTTCATGATGAAAAACTAACTTACACAGGAACAAATGATTAATGCATTATTAAAGGGTTAGTTCACCCAAAAATGAAAATTAAGTCATTAATTACTCACCCCCATGCTGTACCAACCCCGTAAGACCTTCGTTCGTCTTCGGAACACAAATGAAGATATTTTTGATTAAATTTGAGAGCTGTATAACTACCACATTGGCTCCTAAGGGACTGCCTCTTGACGGCCCAGAAAGTCAATGAAGAAAATGTTTAAATATCCCAAGTGACTACCGTGGCTCAACTATATGTTTATCAAGCGACGCGAATACTTTTTGTGCGAAAAAACAAACAAAAATAACGAGTTTATTCGACTATTTCTTTTCTTCCTTGTAGGCCAGAACGAGAATTCCTTAGATTTCCACGACGCATGCGCGAGAATTGCGATCTCCTTACACCAGCTTAGATCGCAATTCTCGCGCATGCGTCGTGGAAATCTATAAGGAAGTCTCGTTCAAAGTTCAGCATGAAAAATGTTTTTGTGCAAGTGCACTTGCCAAATGAAGACGGATCGTATAATGGATCAATCAAAAAACGCTGTTTATTAACGAGCTGTGCTAATTTCTAAAAGTAATGCAGTTCAAGTTAACGACATGGTGCACTGATTCTGAATCTGGCGGGATGGCGAGCGCGAGACGCGGCAGTGCACAGATCGTGACGCGCGTCTCTCTATGGTAAAGTAAATGGGAGCGGGAATTCACCGCATTATGAACTCGTCTCGCAATTCCCCCAACCGCAGACCAAATGTTAGGCCATGTAGACAGGCCAGCTATGATATAATAAAATAAATAAATATTATAAATAAATAAATATATAATAAATATCATATTAAGCAGAAATGTGAAATGTACCTTAGCATATTAGAGGAAGACGCTGATATCTGGATTGAATTGATGCGTGATGAATGCACTTCCACAGCAGTCACGAGTAACAGCAGGAATAGGCGGTAAGTTTTCTATGCTTAATTTGAATTGATGACAGTCACGAGACCGATTACTCGATCCAATCACGTTGATGGATAAAAATAAAATTAAAACAAGCATGTAATGAGTAACGGCCACAAACAGAAAGAAAATAGCGGAGAAAAAGTACCGATACATCACTTAAAATGTACTCAAGTAAAAGTAAAATTACACAATTTTAAACTTACTCAAAAAAGTACAATTTCTGAAAAAAGCTACTTAATTACAGTAACGTGAGTATTTGTAATTCGTTACTTTACACCCCTGGCTGGGACTCATTAACAACAACAATGAGGCGGATTATCGGACTGAAGTGCGACATCAAGCGTCATGGTGTGTCTTTGAACATTAAAAAGACTAAGGAGATCATCGTGGATTACCGCAAATGTAGACCCAATCACTCTCCTCTCTTTATTGGCAATGAAGTGGTGGAGACCCAGATAGCAAACTGACATTGAATCAACGTGGAAATATGACATCGAAACAACGTTGATCTGACATTGTTTTGCTCATCGAATTAACGTTGAACCAACGTCAGACGCGTCATTCTTTCAAAACTAACGGAAAATCAACTTGAAATCAACGCGTTGTTTCAACGTTATGAAAGCAAACCAATTTTCGATTTTCATTTAGCTTTGAAGAATGCCGCGTCTGACGTTGGTTCAACGTTAATTCGATGAGCAAAATCAACGTTGTTTCAATGTCATGAGAGACGTCGTTTCCACGTTGATTCAATGTCAGTTTGCTGTCTGGGGAGGGTGCCATTTTTCAAATTTCTCGGAGTAACGGTGACTGAGGACCTGTCCTGGGGAACCAACATCACCTCCGTGATAGGGAAGGCTCAGCAACGCCTTTACTATCTGAGGCAACTGAGGAATGCCAGGATCCCTAAACAGCTCATGGTCAACTTCTACAACTGTGCCATCAGCAGTGTTTTGACATATGGATTCTTAGTGTGGTATTCCAGCTGTACTAAGGCCCATCAGCAGGCACTCCAACGAGTGGTAAATATAGCTGGAAAAATCATTGGGACCACTCTCCCGAATATCAGTAACATCTATGATAGCCGTTGTTTGAAGAGAGTGAAGAGAATCTTGCGGGAGCGGGATCACCCGGCCCATCACCTGTTCCATCTGCTGCCGTCAGGAAGAAGGTACAGGTCTATTGGTGCCAGAAAATCCAGACTGGCTAACAGCCTGTATCCTTATAAGGCTGCTTAATGATGTCCTTCCCTCTATCTCCCTACAACCCCCCACCCACCCCCCTCCTTCCAATGGACAGTAAACAATATCTCAGTATAAAATAACTGTGAACTGGACTTTGCATTGCTGCATTAACCATAACCATACTGCTTAACGATGATATTTCCTCAATGACAATAAAACTGAACTGAACTTCCTTGTAATGAATGACTAAAGTCATTGTAAGCTTTTGACATATCATCTGACTGTGAGTGTTATAACTCTGTCTTTTTGATGCAAACCAACAACGTTGTGAGAGTAAAGTGCTAAAAGATACCAAGAAATATATTTTTTCTCTAACAGCTTTTACATTTCAAGAATATGCAAAGGGAATCATCTCCCATTCCCATACTTGGCTGACCGCAGGAGCAAGCTTGGTTATGTAAGTAGCTGTTGCCTCTCAATATTTTTGATTTACACACAATTAAGGAAATCAATACCATATGAATAATAATGTAGATCATCTTTACTCTGCAATATACAGAGTATATCATCCTCCTGAGCATTATTACAATCCAGAAGATGGAAGTGGATATCTGGCATGGAGAATAAAAACCCTGCAGAAAGAAGCATCAGAGAGACGGATGAAACGCCAACGGAAACCACAAACAGGTGCGAGATTTGATGTTTAGTCTGCTTTTATTAGCTTGAATGGAATGATTAATAAACTTTTGTAACTTTTTTATTGACTTGGATATTTTACTCATCTGTCTTTGAAGTATTATTTTGTTCCAGATTGGTCAGTCATTGAGTCATAATGTAAACAAGGTCGAGAGTAACATAGTGTCTCTTCAAAATATAATTGCTTTTTAAATGCAAAATGTTAGGGATGGGCAACAATTAATCGCGATTAATCGCATCCGAAATAAAAGTTTGTGTGTGTGGTGTGTATAATTAATTTGTATATATAAATACCCACACATGTATGTGTATATTCAACACTATCTCACGACCAAGTCGTACGAATTCGACGAATGATTAAAAAGTGGCTAATTCGTACGACCTCACTCGTACTAATTCGTACGATTTGTCTAAACCCATGTGATGGTTAGGTTTAGGGGCGGGGTCAGGGGTAGGTCATTCGTACGAATTCATACGAATTGGCCAATTCGTAAAATATGTACGATTTAGCAAAATCGTATTAATTCGTACGAGTGAGGTCGTATGAATTGTTACGAATTAGCCACTTTTTAATCATTCGTCGAATTCGTACGACTTGGTCGTGAGATCGGGTTGGTATATTTAAGAAAATTGTGTCATTAATATATCAAATATTTATATTTACATATAATATTAATTATGTGTAAATATATATATAAAGTATATACTGTACATGCAAATATTTCTTAAATGTATACATGCATGCGTGTGTATTTATATATACAAATTCATTATACACACTACACACACATATATATTATGTAAACACAAACTTTTATTTTGGATGTGATTAGTCGCGATTAATCGTTGCCCATCCCTATGTTGGGCAAATTAAATACTCTCACTCTGGGATACTGTATATGTATGTTTTCTATGTTTTTTCCTGTCGTCTAGTTCTGGTATAAATGTGTTGTGCTTTTGAAAGAAAAGGAGCAAAATATTTTGTTTTCATATTGTCTTAAATACTTTCAGGTGCGCCAACTACTGGCAGGGATCCCTTCAAAGCCGCGTGGCCTCACACAGACTAGTGAGCTCCAAGACCTTATCCAAAATGCTGAAGGTGACTATTGTGCTATAACTTAAATTATTTAATTGGAAGTTATGCATTTATGACAGCATAGGTTTATTCAGATCTATAGAGTTTAAATTGTGGTCACAACTTTACCCATTCATATGCAACACAGACTTGCAATGGGTAAACTGTAAAATGTTTCTCTAACATTTCTACCCTGATCTTCTCTCCAAGACCTAGTACAGGAGTTGCAGATTTACAGTTTGTAATGGCTTTTATATAGACCCCTTTTGCGCCGACGTCACAGTTACGTCACGGCGCTAGCTGGAGGCAAAACAAAGTGAAAACTTGATTCGGCTACATAATAAGGAGCTTAAATAATTGTTACTATTATTAAATGTCATCTTGTTGTGTTGTTTGGTGCAAGAATTGATGAAAAATGAATATGTTGTATCTGGAACTTTTATTCTAGAAAATATTCACATCATTAAAATCGCACTGTAATGTCACTCTTTACATTGTCGTGGTCTCGGCGCTGACTCGGCAGAACTGCGGATCGTACACACGAGTCTTGTACAGGACCATATAGGCATCTAAAGATTTATATGCCTCAGTTTCTCTTTCAGTTAGGTTTCTCCATAAGGTAGGTGTAGAAGTCAAGCCACTCACCCGAGGTAACTTACGTTAATCCTGTCAGATCATCCATGCATTGAGTGAGCGTGTAGGCGGCTATGGGTCGGCCAATCTGGTTCTGTCCGTTAAAAATAACTTTTGGAAATAACAATCTGACACTGAGTGACCTTACACATTAAGATAATATCGGATTTTCTCCAGTCATTGTTAAAAAAACAAGCTAACAATCCTTGCTAACTCGCGTTAGTGAAGCGGCCAGAGGGATCTTTCTGCCTCCACCTAAGCTCCGCCCACAAAAAAACGTCACCATGTTTACCAACTGTAAAAGGGTCTATTGGTCTCTGAATAACAAAACTATGGTTGAATGGCTGAGATGTAGTATATAAAGTTTAACTTTTTGACCTCATTTCAATATCTGTAAATTTTTTCTCCTTAATTCAGCCACACATCTGTAGTCATCAAGACTTGGATATGAATGTGCTGTTAAAGGGATAGTTCACTTTGAAAGTAATTTTTGGTATGTTTTATCTTACCTCAAGGGCATCCAAGATGTAGGTGTCTTTGTTTCCACAGTATTTTCAATTTTGATATTTTTCAGTCACACCGTTCTTGTCTATCAGTGATACACTGGAGGCTAAGGGGGTCCACCAAAGAGCAGCACAGAGAAGTCCAAATTAAACATGATTTAATGACTCGTAAATGTAAGTACACACTGATGGCCTAAGACACGAAACGAACGTTTTGTGTGAGAAAATGAACAGTATTTATATCGTTTTTACCTCTTGTAATCATAGCCACGACAAAATGATCTGACGGCACGGGCGCTTCGGTCTGGAAGTGATCGCTTGCGCGCCGACGTCACTCTTTGTTTATACAGAGATTTCGGAAGTTTTACCTTTCACTAAACATATTTAAATAAAAGGGAAACCGCAATGGAAGACTATTTCGGTATATCTAAATATGTTTAGTAAAAGGTAAAACTTCCGAAATCTCCGCGTAAATATTGAGAGACGTCACACGCAAGTGATCACTTCCGGCGTAACATTGAACTGATTCAGTTCAGTTCAGTTGAACATTGAACAACTGATTCAGATCACTTGGATTACACGAGGTAAAACTATATAAATACTGTTCGTTTTCTCACAAAAACCGTTCGTTTCGTGTCTCAGGCCATCAATGTGTACTTACATATACGAGTCATTAAATCATGTTTAATTTGGACTTCTCTGTGCTGCTCTTTGGTGGACCCCCTTAGCCTCCAGTGTATGACTGATAGACAACAACGGTTTGACTGAAAAATGTCAAAATTGAAAATACTGCGGAAACAAAGACACCTACATCTTGGATGCCCTTGAGGTAAGATAAAACATATCAACAATTAATTTCAAAGTGAACTATCCCTTTAATACGTATTCTGTGTGCAGTATAAACTAAAGTACTGCAGTGGTTAAAGTATTTATACTGACACATCATCCAAGTGAAGTTAAGTCTACGTAAAACTAGTTCAACTGAGTATGTTCATCCCCTTCTACCTAAAAAACGAAAACAAGTCAAGGCCGGGAAAGATCTCAGCGAGAAAAGCGTGATTCTTGTGAAATTCATTATGGTGAAGCAACTGATGAAGCAGATAAAATGACACTAGTTCATATGTTGTGTTACTGTGTGACCTTGAACTTGCTTATTTCTCAGACAGGTTCTTATAGATCACATCCAAATTGTTGTTCTTGTGCTATTCTTTTCTGCTTAGTACAGTAACAATCTGTTGGAAGTATGTAATAAAGAAACTTTGGGGGAAGACACAATTTTATCCCAATTTTCGATTATTTTATTATTATTGTTAATTTTTATTTTTTTGATCACAAGTGAATTGAGTGCAAGTGCAACGTTGTTTAAACGGGTGCTTGAAAAATAAAATTGAGACATGAGTATAAAGTTGTTGATTTTTTTTTCAGACAAAGCAAGTTTTTCATTTATATTTTTACGAATTTTTGAGGGTAAAACATGAATGGTGCAATTCAGAATTGATAATAAATAACTCTGGAGGGAAAGTAAATTGTGGCAGAGTAAATTTAAAGTTAAAAGCACTAATTTGAGTAAAATAGCATGAGAGTTGATTTCAAAAAACACTAAATAGAGTTAAATATCGTAGGAAAGAGTAAAATTGTATCACTAAATTGAGTATAATTAACTGGAAAAACTGCTTTATCAAAAGAGTAACTTTTACTCTTTTCAGAGAGGGACCAAATGTTATCTGGCATTTTCTTCAATTTGAGTAAATTTTACTCTGACAAATTTACTGTTTGTAAACACTTATAAAGGTGTTTCATAGAGAAGGTCAAAAGTAGGATAGAAAATAGATTATACTTCTACATTAGGATGTTTTGTGATGTAAAAATCTCGATGACATTATAAGTTGACTTGAGAGAACGTTACAAATGCAGTTCATGACCCCTGTAATATTAGGATCAGAGATTTACATAGAGTGGCTGTGACTGGTCCACACTGATCTGTACATCCTCTGCATGTGTTTGTCTCTTTGGGACTTCAGGTCTGTTGTGAGGAATGTCAATATTCTCGTACACACTGTCTTCCTGCATCAAGAAAACAAAAGTGCACTAGTTATGTCTGCTGGGTCATTAAACACTGAATATTAAGTAGGGTTTTTAGGTTATTTTTTAAGGTCAGTGAGTGACTTACATAATCGTTGGCATTACTCTTCTGTTCATCTCTGCTTTTATTTTGATTGTTGACAGGCGTCACACTGCCTATGGAAATATCAAAACAAAGAAATGCATTGGTCAAATCTTTTTGTTGTTTTAATTATGCTGATAGTAGGCATGGCTTGTTTATTTGTACCTGTATTTGCTGATGTCTTGACGTTTTTCCTGCACCGATGAACAACGATCCATCCAACTCCAACTATGATCCCTGCTATGACCAGCCCACCGACAGTATATAGCAGCATGTATATTGTAGTGTCCAAAGATACTGATGGAGAGATAGAAAGATATGTATCATTAAAGTCATTCAGATAGTTGTCAACTACTTGTGCAAAATTCAGAATTTCAGAATTGGCCTCCGTTCAGTTCATTATTTGGAATTTGAATTGAATTAATTCTGTCCCACAGGAAGTTGAATTTGAATTGGAATGACAGGAAGTGGAATTAAATTCATGGCAATTCCACACAGTCACACAGTGACACAACAGAAAGAATGTGTTGAATCTCACATACATTCAGCGTTAGAAAAGTTGCTTTGGAAATGTAATTGCTTAAGTTACCCATTATAAATGTGGTTTGGATTACTATATTTGGATTACGTTATCAATGCAAAGCAATTTTCTTTCAATTTGATTAGTAACTAATTGAATTAAACATTTTACCTCAGCAACTAAATACAATTACATTAATTTTGTAATTTAATAACATAATTCCGTTACACGTATAAGTCACTCCTCAACCCTGCATAAATTTTGTTGTAAAATATAATTATCAAATTCTTTATATAAATTAGCCCCTCGATGTTGTTTAAATAGTTTTGTTCCAATGTTATTTTCATTTCAAAGTAATCAAATAACACAAAGTCGTTGTAATTGCATATTGCTATTTCAATTATCAATAGTGTAACAAAAATATTTGAAAAACAAATTTTTAACCAACTTTCTAAATATCCTAATGAACAAAATCTGATATCAACAAACATTACAGCACGGGCTGAGAGCAGCTCTGATTGGCTGAGCTACTTGCATAAGGGATATTTGATGTGTGCTATTACACAAAAAATATATAATAAAGTGTTGTAAAAAGGGACTTACCAATGGTCACGAGTAGATAGATGAGAAGAAAAGCAAGAGCCATTCTGACCTTCACCACCACACCAAACTTCACAGATGACAACTTCACAGTTATTAGGTATATTAACCATCACTGTTAGGTATAATGTTAGTTATGCACATTAATAGCAGGAAACTCAACTTTATTTAAAAATGATTCTGTCGTCCAACAAACAGAGGCTTGCGTTTGTCAATTAATGAGTTTTATTATATCAGAGATCCGATGGTCACTTCATGAATAACATTAATATTTAATCCTCTATTGCATTTAACAAAAAAGCTTCTATAAAAGTGTGTTATTTTTAACTTCTTTTGAAGATCAGCTACCAAAATACATTCATTCCAACATTCAGTGTTTACATATTTACAGACTTTAAATGTAATTTTGCAAACTGTTTATTAATACGTAAAAGCGTTCATACCTTGTCATAGAAGCTTTCATCACAAGCACACAAAGAGCAAATGTTGAGTTTGGAGGCTGAACGAGTTACGCTGAATAACTTTGAATATGGTTATAATAAATTACAGTATATGAAAATGTGTTTTCCATGTAACTCACAGAGACAAAAACTTCTCCACATTCACAAAGTGACCTTCTGCCTTTACTGTAAATGCCACCATTTTACTTGCATTGCACTTTACACATCACACATTGTTTCAAAAGAAGCTTTACATGTTTGTTTAGACATCTAACATCCAAACAGGAGATCTGAGCTGTTTTATACGAGTTTTACAAACTTTATTCTGTATAAGCTCATATTCTACGGCCTCTTCCTGTCCATCTGAAAGAAAGAAAAAAAGAAAGAAAGAAAGAAAGAAAGAAAGAAAGAAAGAAAGAAAGAAAGAAAGTGAATTAATACATTAATAAATAATTGACTTCAAATTTCTGCTTGATATAATATGTGATATAAAATATGAAACATTAAAATAAAAATGAAAATGTGAGTTTCCATAATCAGCAGTCATTTGACATGTCCACACTGACACTGAAGAGCATTTAATGACTTTGGCTGAAGGTGAGGAGGGTTCAGTCTTTTATACCTTTACATTCTCATACACAGGATCACTCAGCTCAACACCACAAGCTTCACGTCGATCATGACGAGGGCTGGAACGTTTCATCTTTGCCTTTAAAAAACAGAGAAGAGAGATAATAAATATAAGTACTCTCTAAATACAACACGACTATGTTGATCCTTTTTTTCTCTCACCTGAGACTCCATTGTATCGTGTCTCTTGTTCGTCCCCCTGATTCTCCTTAAAAACAATGAATACGTTCAATAAAAGTTGATAGAATTAAAATGTTCTTGAAGTGTCGTTTCGTTGGTGTTTTAATGCCATGCATCCTTGCTTATTTCCAGTGTTAAATTAACACAGAGAAGTGAGAATTATATAAACTCTGAGCAGAGTGTTAAATGAACACTGAGGCAGTGTTAAAGTTAATGAGATAATTAAGTGAATAATTGAGTGATGATTGAGCATGTTAACAAGCAAAATCACTGACGGGGAAAATCATAATTTTAAAGTCACCATTGTGGAGATCAGTGTTTGGTTTAGTTGGGCTCTTGACCCTTAAATCATTAACTACACTGTAAAAAAATATTGATGGTTTAACTTAAAAAAGTAAGTAAGCTGGGTTGCCTTAAAATTTTAAGTTGATTGAACTGGAAAAAGTGAGTTAATACAATGAAGGAGATTAATTTAACCATCAGAAACTCAAAATAATAAGTTATCTCAACTAAATAAATTATTATAAAGTTGATTTGACAAAAGAAAATATGTTGTGATAACAAATCTTGAAAATATTTTTTACAGTTTGGCGGCTGTATGTGAGTTTCACCAGCCAGATGAACAGAAATGTTGATTCAGTTGATTTGTATTTGTGGTTTGCATTTCTGCTTGGGTTGCATTTATGAAGCTGGTTTTCCTTTGGATGTTGTAAAAACCAATGAATGGGTTATAAATGCACTTATATGCAATCAAATACCACACACACACACATACACCTTACCAAATCAGCAACAGCATGATGATGATCACTGCCGCTCCACAAATCACTCCAATTGATATATATAATATCACCTGACGCCCTACAACTGAGACAAAATATGAAACATCCAACAATATTAATCTGCTTCATTTTAGGAAGAGTAAGGCAAGTATGAGCTGCACTACCGTTAACAGTAGAATGTGAGAATGAGGAAAATAATGTGAAGATGTTTTTATTAATCTTAACTAATGAATGCATTTCAGTCACAAAACAACACAGTTTAGAATTTATATGTTATTATAAACCATTTTAGCTTTAAGATTCACACCAGGACCTTATACACCCATTTCCATGAGTCCTCTAAAAACAATTGGACTCTGCCACAACATCTACTCTATAATAAAATATTTGCAGTATGTATTTAGTCAGAATGCATGCTAATGAATGGATAGTTGTCTGTCAGATGCAGTCAGATTCACTGTAAAAATGAATATGCTTTATCCAATCAATAAAATTGTGGCAACAGATTAGAAGCAATATTATTTATTAAATTGAACAAATTAGAATTGAGTAATAGTTAATCAAATTAATATTCTAATTAATTCTAATTTGTACAATTTAATTAATATTATTGCTTGTAATATGTTGCCACAATTTTATCGATTAGATAAAGCATATTATTTTTTTTCAGTGTTGTGTAGTTACAGCTTCCTCCAGCAGGGGCTGACGAGACCAAGCTAAACAGCCAGACTGCTCTCTGATTGGCTGGTTTTCAGGTTAAAGACAATCTTTATACTCTGGATATTCTTTTAAACTTTTCATATTTACATTTGGTATTTTGATCCAAACTGTATCTGTGAGTGTATGCTCCTGAGGGTATCTATGTGTGCATGACATGTTTACTGAGGACCCTTTGAGGACACACATTGATGTAGGTTTCATAAATCACATTCCAGTCTTGTCCAAAAACTCCTGCAACACAAAATACAAAGAAGACAAATGAGTTATGTGTAAATGCAGCTAAATAATATCCATCACTTGTTGCTGGAGAGATGACGCACAGTGAGAGAAGTGGAAAAAGTCCTTCAGACGGGTGTTGTAGAAAAGCAAGGGAAAAAATCTACTCTGTTTTTCTGAATTAACGAGTTAATTATCTCAGAATAATGAAAAAAAAAATCTGAATTAATGAGTTAACTTATATTAACTCATAATTCTGAGATAATTAACTTGTTAATTCAGAAAAACACAGTCGAGAGTTTTTCCTCAAGTGAATGCAATACTCTTACATATATTTCAGCCATTACACACTCTTAGAAGAAATGGTTCTATTTAGAACCAGAAATGGTTTCATCCCCCGCTTCATACATGGAACTCCAAAATGGTTCTATATAAAAACATTTTTTTGGTAAAAGGTTCTATTGGCCAAGTATGGAACCCCAGGGTTCTATATAGAACCCAGAGGAACCCTTTTTTAAAGAGTGTATAGAACCTTTTAGGAGTTCCAAATACCTAGCGCCGATAGAACCTTTTAAGGTTCTATATAGAACCTTTTCTTCTAAGAGTGCATGCAGAGCGGGCTCTGTCTTCTACATTTCAACCAACCCAATGTCAGCTAAAATGACTGAGTGTGTTTTGGTGGACCATAAAATAAACAAATAACGCACTCTTTAAAAAAACACGTTCAGCTTTCAGCTTAATAACAACTGCGACTCACCACAAGTCAAGAGCAGAAAGATTGGAGAGATAAGAAGAGTCATGCTGGCACTCACGACCACGGGAACCATCACAGCTCTACAAACAAACATATAAATACACGCATCTACTTCATGATATGAACTCAAAACTAGCAATAAAGCTTCTGAAAATAGTTTTAGTCTTTGGTTAGTACAAAAATAACTCTGCTCAGAAACAGCTTCAGTGACTCACCCATGAGATCAGTGTGAAATGGAGGTGTTGCACTGCTGAACTGTGCTCATTTTTCATGCATGCTAATAATTAGTCTCATGCAAGATTAAACCTTTTGCACTGGACAACCCATTTCTCTTTTCTTTTTGCAACATCAGATTATTGGGTCTTTAGTGTTCCAACAGCATGTCCAGTTTGAGACGGTCTACACTGGACATGACAAAGCAACCATTGCTAAAATCATTTGACCTTCATGTCAGAAGTAGCACGTACTTGGAGTATGTCAGAAATAAAACAGGGCGTTGGTCATGATGCTTCAGTGTAGACAGTGTGGATGATTATTATGGGCCCATATCTGGTACACTTGGACACCACACGGCCCAGATGTGGGCCGGATCTGTTGCTGTCTGGGTTCTTTTGGCTTTTGTTGCTCCACATCTGGTGTGGGCTGATGATCAATGAATGAGGGCTTTACATCTTACATTGCCCAGCTGGCCTTCCACCAAATCATATACATCATGATATGAACTTAAAGTGCAGAATCCTGTGAAATGCGGGTCCACTAAGGTCCTGTGTGGTATATTCTGCTCCAAGAACATAGTGTCGGCCCACATCTGGTATCCATATGTACCGGATGTGGTCCGGATCTGGGCCGACACTGTGTTGCTGTCTGTGATGCGACCAACCCACAAACATTTAGCCACAAATGATACATTTCTTCTCCTTTATCTCATCAAGTAATAAGTAAAAACTCTCATACCTTGTTCGCAGAAGCTTTCCTCACTGACTCTGAGGAGTTTGAAGACTGATAAGCCGTATTAAGCAGGGGTTATATGTGATAGCACTTCCTGTCTCTATGCAAGCAAGGCTCAACTTTCATGTGATAAAAAAAAAACTGTTCTCCCACACAATAGGCCTTTTACACTCGAACAAGTTGATTCTGGATCATTCTAAACCCAGCCTAAACTAAATCCTGAGTTATCTGGTTTAATGTTTAAGATAATTAAACCACTTTGATGATGAGCTCGTCTAAAATATTCTTTGGAGTGGATTCTGGGTCGGGCAAACAATAATTTCGTACACACTTCATCCCTCCGTACACACTGTTTTGGTGCGTCTGGTGTCCTTTGAAGGGGGGCTATGTCGAGATCCCGGTTCTGTGTCTTTTCAGAAAAAAAGGTACAAAAGCTGTCACTGGGGTTGTACCTTTTCAAAAGGTACACTTTTGTACCGTAAGGGTGCATATTGGTACCTTAATGGTACATATTAACACCTAAAATGTACATATCAACACTTAAAATGTACATATTAGTACATGAAATGTACATATTAGCACCTAAAATGAACATATCAACACTTAAACTGTACATTAGTTCCTGAAATGTACATATTAGCACCTAAAATGAACATATCAACACTTAAACTGTACATATTAGTACCTGAAATGTACATATTAGCACCTATTAGCACTTAAAATGTAAATATTAGCATCTATTAGCACCTAAAATGTACAGATTAACACTTAAAATGTACATATTAGTACATGAAATGTACATATTAACACCTAAAATGAACATATCAACACTTAAACTGTACATATTAGTACCTGAAATGTACATATTAGCACCTATTAGCACTTAAAATGTACATTTTAGCACCTATTAGCACCTAAAATGTACATATCAACACTTAAAATGTACATATTAGTACCTGAAATGTACATATTAACACCTAAAATGTACATATCAACACTTAAAATGTACATATTAGTACCTGAAATGTACATATTAGCACCTATTAGCACCTAAAATGTACATATCAACACTTAAAATGTACATATTAGCACCTGAAATGTACATATTAACACCTAAAATGGACATATCAACACTTAAAATGTACATAATAGCACCTGAAATGTACATAGCACCAAAAATGTACGTATTAGCATATAAAATGTAAAAATTAGTACCTAAAATGGACAAAAGTGTACCTTTTGAAAAGGTACAGCTACCTCCAGTGACAGCTTTCGAACCTTTTTTCTGAGTGTACGGACTTATGTTGAAGTGTATTGGTTTCAGTTTCTTTTGGTTTACGTGTAAGTTTCTTCATTATTTCCACCTGTTGTAAACTGTCCACTCATTTCTCTGTGTGTTTAAACCCTTGGTCATACTTGCTAGTTGTCGTTTTGTGTTGTATGATGTTCGTGTTTGTATTTTAGATTAGTAGTCTTTTCATGTGGAGTCTTTTCATTAAAGTGGATTTTCTCTCCGCCTGTGACATCAACACATGGTTTGTAAGATGGTTTCACAACGAATTCCCTCATTATTAAAATGTTTATAATTTTGAAGAAAAAAAAATGTGTCAGTGGTGCTTTAAATTTAACAACCCCACCGTTTACAGTATTTTTTACAATTAATGAAAAATATGAAAAAGACAATACCCAGTACATTAGAGTTGGGTGTAAAATGTGCAAAATATTCATGACAATGAAACTAGACTTTCAGACAATGTTCAGATTTAATGTATTTAGCAGTAAAATCACACAGTATGACGAGAGAAGAGGAAACATATGTTCTGCATTGAATTTACAAAGTGAGAGCTAAAGGCATTTACTATTACAGGTGTGTGTGTGTGTGTGTGTGTGTGTGTGTATAATTGTGATACTGACAATCAATTCAGATAATAATAAAAAAGCTCATTATAAACAGAAACCCATTCATGTCTAAACAGCAAAACAGTCCAATAAATGTGTAAAAGTGAAATCAAGAGGACAGTGAGATGGAAACATGACCTGAGCTGGACTCAAACCCAGGTCTCCCATCGGCATCAATAGGAAACGGCTGCGATCACATGACCTTTACTTGACTGAGCTGTAGATCACATCCTCAGATCTGCGGAGAAATGAAACAAAAATAATGTGGTGTTTCAAGAGATCTCAGCAACACAAAAGAAGAGCTGAATATGTGTTATTTGGCTTGAAATGACGTCTCTCACCTGTTGGCTTCAGGCGGATGATGCATCTCAATGCAGTCGTACTCTTCAGTCTTCATGTGTTTGTTCTTGAAGTGATAGACACTGGCATACTGAACCTCATTAACATCTCCAGAGTCTGTTTCTGTGTGTTTTCTCCCGGAGCGTTCGGGTTTCTTAGCTGGGATTTTGGCATACAGATCCTCCCTCGGATTGGCTGATACTAGTGAATACACTGGCTCGTCATTGGTCGAAGGCGTTTCTGCTGATCTGTCGACGTGATCCTCCTGCAGTTTCGTCAAATAAAATATCAACGACAGATCGATCATTCAGAAACGAGTTACATGATGTTTTTCAGATTGTCTTTGTGTCAAATATTTGGCAGTACATGCTCTTTGTAGTTAAATATAATATCCATGTGTAGATTCAGGTGTGTTATTATAAAACTGGCCTGGTTTTGTCTGATGACTTGAGCTCCACCGTCTCTCCTCTTCTTCCTGTAGAAAACATTTCTTTGTTAGAAAGTACTGAAAATTATTTTATTGTAAGAAACGTTTATTTTTTTTCATAGTGGCTTTAGTTCAACAAATGTTGCATTAATGCAGGAGCTTCTCAACATTCACTCACTTTATGAACATGATGATAATGATGATGATGATGAAGATCAATCCTCCACATCCCGCCACGATCCCAGAAACTGCACTACCCGCACTACCGTTAACAGTGAGAGACACAGACGCTGATCTCCCAGATCCATATTTATTCTGAGCCTCACAGTAGAAGCGTCCACTGAAACTGGAGTTAAAGCTGGAGATGCTGAAACTCTGTCCAGATCCAACAGCTGAGGTTTCATTCTCCTTAAACCAGCTGAAGTTCACAGCAGGAGGGTTTGAGTCACTGATGCACTTCAGAGTCACTGAATCTCCCTCCACTATTACACCAGACCCATTTATCAACACTGAGATGCTCTGAGGAGGATCTGAAAGAGAAAAAAAACATGTTTTTGCATAACTTACTTTAACCAGATGATTTGACTCACATTATGAACTCACACATGACATTCAGCATCACAGCATCAGAGTCTTTCTCTCCATGTGTATTTCTGGATCTGCACTTGTATTCTCCACTGTGATCAGAGCTGATGTTTGAGATGCTGAAGATTCTTCCAGATCCTACAATCGTTCCTCCTTTAATCCAGTTTATTTCTGCCGGAGGGTTTGAGTCACTGCTGCAGTTCAGAGTCACTGAATCTCCCTCCACTATTACACCAGATGGACTGATGGACACTGAGACGTTTCTTGGTGCGTCTGAAAGAGACAAAAAGTGTCAAATGACACGATAATAGAGCAAATAATCATCCCGACCTGGTCTAAAATCAAGGCAGACTTACACATGACATTCACTGTCACAACAGCAGAGGACCAATATCCATGTATATTTCTGGCAGAGCAATGATAGTTTCCACTGGCCTCAGATTTAATATTAATGAGGCTGAAGGTGTCGCCAGATTGCAGAAATTTTCCTTCTTTGAACCAGCGGATTTCTGCAGGAGGGTTTGAGTCACTGATGCAGTTCAGAGTCACTGAATTTCCCTCCACTATTACACCAGATGGACTGATGGACACTGACACGCTCTGAGGAGGATCTGAAATATATTTAAAATATGAAAATAGTTACTTTATTCAAGCCATGACCTTCCATTAACTTTATTTTAATACTAATAACAGGTCAAATACTGGAGTCTTTAATCTTTCTAATGATACTCAGTTTGTCGTGACGTGAGGAGAATGAACCACAATAATCAGGGGCCTGATGTTTGTAGGTAAAGGGGTTTATATCATATATATTATGTCTAATAAATAAAAATGTCATGAAGTCTGTATGATCGGGCCTGACATTACCAAACAAATCTGAACTAAACTCTGAATAATCTGTGGGATATTTCACTAATATTAATGAATCATTTGTACTCACATTCAACATTAAGATAAACAGCAGGAGAGATCAGATGATGATTATTTCCACTTATTTCACATTTATAGTTTCCAGCATCAGAACGATTGACTGACAGCAGATGAAGATTCTCTGTTCGATCAGTTAATATCTGTGTGTTTCTGTACCAGATGAATGTTGTTTGTTGAGGCAGAGAGCAGCTGCTTTTACATCTCAGACTGACTGAATCTCCATCTTTCACTCTCTGCTGTGTCTCCACCTGCAGGTCTGACACAACAACAACAACAACAACAACAACATCATCATCAACAACATCAACAACACAACATCGTCAACAACATCAACAACAAGAACAACAACATCAACAAAAACAACATCAACAACATCATCATCAACAAAAACAACAACAACAACAACAAAAACAACAACAACAACATCATCATCAACATCATCAACAACAACATCAACAACAATAAAACATCAACATCAACTGATTCACTGTCTTCATCATCATATTCATGGAGATAATAATACAGTGATAATATTCAACACTAAACTGAATCAGTTATATATAAACATGATGTTTCTGTGGCACAGATGATAGTTTATTCAAAAGCTAATAAAATGTTTCTGTGTTTTATTTCTGAGAGTTTATTAGTTTTACCTGCGACATCAAGCCAAGATCCAGGAATCACTGTCCATCTTTTCTGCCTGTCTATAAATCTGCAGTAGTAGACGAGTTCATCAGCTTCTGTTACATTCATCAAAGTGAGATTATAAGTGTTTATATTTTCACTCAAACACTGAATCCCTCTTCTCTTCTCTGGATCTGAACACAGATCAGGTGATTCTCCAACAGGTTTAGTCCAGAAACCTTCAGCGAGATTATAATTCTGAGGATCTGTTAAAGTACAGGATATTGTCACTGTTGATCCCTTTAATGCACAAATATATGAAGGACTGTAATTCACTCCCGACTCCCACAGACCATCAACCCCTGAAACACAGAAATGAGGAAAATAATTAAAGATGCTTTCAGCAACAAACACAGAAATCTTTAGTTTTATTTCTGCACTTTTCATAACACACAATCAGATTTCAGTTGGTGTTTATTAGGGACGTGTCTGAAGCCGAATACTATGTTCAGAAAGGAAATGACGCGTTCTACGGGGTCCATAAAGGGACATGGTGATGGAGAAAAAATATGAGATGGGAGGACAAAATATATTTCAATGCTTTTGCATTTTCTTATAATTATATGCGTTAAATATATATTGTATATTTTATGGCATCAGCACAGGTGTATGAGGTCACAGACTCACCATTGATAAAAGCAGTGGATCAAGACGGGTTAACCAGACAAACTCAAATTAACCAGCACAGGTGTATAAAGTCACAGACATGCAAATAAAATGTATTTCATCATTTTATGATTTAATATTTAAGGTATATTTTTAATTTCACTGTGTGTTCGGGTTGAGGGAGAATAAAACGATTTGCAGGACTAGATATATCTATGAATAAAACATAAAAATTAACACAATTTTTATTCATCCGTTGCAGAAAAGCAACAAGAACAACTAAAACAAAATAGAAATGATTTACAGGCCAGAGTTTCTATTCATCACATGTTTGCAGCGTTGAGTGATGTAGCCAATCACAGACATATGTGTTGATTTCTTGAACGCAATGGCCAATCAGAAGCATTTACGATAGACTTTCCTCACCGCTCAAAACTGACTTTTTGTTCAGTGATGAATTCTGTGTGCTGGAAAATCCTCGAATTATAACAAACAAAGAGTGGATATTATGAAATATTCATTGATAATAACAGAGATGTGTGAGATTGCGATGAATGACGTCAGCTTTTTAGGAATTATTATGGGAGTCGTGCCAAACCATGCATGACTAGCCTGCTTGTTTTTATGTTATAACAGTGGTTTGTGTGTTATTGCTTTAATAACAAATAATTTATCAGGAGCATTGATGCTGATGTGTATGACGGCGACACGTAGGCTAATTTGAAAGTATTTGGAGGTACAGAAAAAAATCTTTTTACAGGCGGGAGCGGGACAAAACTTTAATGTTGCGGGCGGAAGAAAGTAACAGAAAGTAGTTGAGAACGTCAGTTATAACTCAGGCTTGGAGCAGAAACCAGACAGTAAAAGCTTGGAGTCCTTTCATGACGTCACGACCCGCCTAGTGGAGGGGAGCGGGAGTGCTTAAAACCACTGTCAAACTACCAACTTTTCATGTTATATGCAGCATTTTGGTGTGCTTTCAGTAATAAATAGAGAGTCTAAGATCCAGGATTAAAAAAACGTAATATGATCAGAACTGTGGGTTTTGGGGTCCGTTGAACCACTTCTGTTATCTAAACAACGTTTGAGAGCCGAAGCTGAATTGACAAACGATTTGTGAAAAAATTGTGATAAAGCATTAAAATATTTGTTTCCAGTGCAGTGACAAACAGCACACAGACAATACACTGATTTAAACTGATTATCAGAGAAACTTCATGTAGTTATGTCATGTGACTTTGAATTATAGAAGTGGCAAATTGAGATTCATATTCTGTTCATTTTTGTAATAGGAAAAAGGGAATGATTTAATATACAGCAGATTAAACATATTGTCAATTTAGACAATCACACTAATATAATGGTTTTCTATATTCTAAATTAATATGAATATAATATAATATATTAAATATTTTTAATCTTTTAATATTAACATCCCCCCAAAAAAATTGTGAAATATTTCTTTAGTGTTAATGAATCAGTTTTTACTCACTGTCAACATGAAGATAAACAGCAGGAGAGATCAGATGTTCATGTCCTCCTACAGCACATCTGTAGTATCCAGCATCAGAACGACTGACTGACCACAGATGAAGCTGATTCCCTTTCACAATTCCTCTAGTTATTCGCTGTGTGTTTCTGTACCAGATGAATGTTGTTTGTTGAGGCAGAGAGCAGCTGCTTTTACACGTCAGACTGACTGAATCTCCCTCTTTCACTCTCTGCTGTGTCTCCACCTGCAGGTCTGACACAATAACAACAACAACATCATCATCATCATCAACATCTTAAATGATGACCTTCCTCAAGCTTTCAAATGAATATAAAAGCATCAAAACACTCTCTCATGCAACTCCTGCTGTATATTCAGTGTTCTGAGGGCAAACGACAAGCTTTGATGAGAAAGAAACCAAAGTGCAATTTATTCTGAGTAAAAGTCTTGATTTGCATGTCTGAGAGTGTTTGAGAACAGCAGTGAGGATTTGTGCTAAATAACATATTACAGTTTGGTTTGCTGCTTTGTTTCTTGATGAACTCTATTGCACACCTTCACAACACTTGGAATATCAGTCAAAATCACATCATTTAAGGACAATTAAAGCTCGACTGTCATTATATGAACAAGAGCCATCAGGACACTTTATAAAATATCTATAGAAGGTCATCTGGCAGATTCAGTGATATAAGGAAGTGCTTGATGTGTGTGTTTGTGTGTTTCTGTGGTGTATTTCTGAGAGTTCAGTAGTTTTACCTGTGACGACAGTGACGTGAAGCTGAACTCCAGGAAACCCCGTCCATTTTCCGTCCGCTTTATCTGTAATAAATCTGCAGTAGTAGATGTGTTCATCAGCTTTTGTTACAGCCGTCAAAGTGATGCTGGAAGTGTCTTTATTATATTCACTGTTACACTGAATCCCTCTTCTCTTCTTTGGATCTGAACAAAAGCCATGCGGTTCTTCAACAGTTACAGGAGTTTTGGTCCAGAAAGCTGTTGTGACCTCATAACCAAGAGGATGTGTTAAAGTACAGGATATTTTCACTGTTGATCCCTTTAATGCACAAACACGTGAAGGACTGTAATTCACTCTCCAACCCTGCAGACCATCAGCCCCTGAAACACAGAAATGAGGAACGAAGAGGCTTTCAGGTGTAAAATATCTTTTCACTTTTGACCATTTTTAGAATTAGCTGACAGTGAAACTCTCATGTCCGTTTATAAGTGTGAAGAGTTCAATCATCTTGTGTTAAATATGTGTGAGTGAAACTGAAGACTCACCCGCAGTCATGATCACCACGATCAGAGGAAGAGACTTTATGAGAGACGACACCATCGTGACTTCTGCAATCATAAAACTGACAATTATGACATTATGACCATCATCTACATCATCACAAACTCTGTTTGATAGATAAAGCACATGATTATTAATAATTCACGGCTCATTGATGATGTTTCTCATGTCTGGCCTCGTGTCTAAAGAGCTTCACACAATATTTACACATGAATCTACAACAGATATTGAGCTTCTGGAGTCAAAATCACTTCATCAAATCAACATTCATCTAAAACAGTTTTATAAATTCTTTTAAATAACAGTAAAAATGCTCTTACCGCTCTGAAGTGTCGATGTTTCAGTGTCGACGCCCGAATGAGAAAAACATCCGCAGTTTAATGTGTCAAACGCTGCAGTTTTCACACTTAAATAAAGTTCAGCTAAATGTTGGTTTTCCTCTTCCTAGTTATGAGTGACCGTCATCTCAATCACACAAGAACAACTGGAGAAGAAAGTGAACGTCTCAGATGTCAAACACAACAAGTTTTATATCTGTAGAGCTCACAATTATCAGATCTTTGTGAGAGAATATGTGAAAGATGTTTAAAGATGTTAAAACAGAGTATGATGCTCATCAAGTCTGCAGGAGCGTCTGAACAGCATCTTTACAGCTCTTAGTTTCACTTCCTCTTTCTGGCACAAACTCTGTGTTTAACGCATGAAGCAACACATATACTAACTATAGTGCTGTTCACTGCAGAGCCGAATGCCGTCCAGCTCCTCCTCAGTGGATCTAATGGGTGGAGGGAGAGAGTTATGGGTCGGTTAGGGTGTTGTTGGACCGTCTCGCTCCATTACACACACATTACATCCAGAGAGAAGAGCTGGACTTCTCTCTCCACCCACGGCTCTGCAGTGAACAGCCTCTCGAAATAGAGGAATTACATCCATTACTCACATCTTTCCTGCACTCCCATTGACTTTACTGGCATCTAGTGGCCAAAAAGATCCAGTGCACTTTGATTTTAGAAGTAATAAAAGTTCCTAAAGTTGTATTTTCTTCTATATTGTTCAATATGTGTTTATATAAATCAATCATGTAAACAGGAGAAGCTAATGTGTGCTTCATATGAATTATAAAGATGATGTATTAAAAATGATTTAAGGTTTATACAGTCAGGATGGGAAATGAACACCCGTCAGCAGCCAATTACTGGTACTTTTAGGACAATATCTGGTTATTTCGCTTCATCTGCCAGTCAATGTGTCGCCAATCCTACATCTCAGATTATACTATAACCAAAAAACACAGTGATGACGCGTATCAAACACACTGAGGTGTTTTAGCAGTTTCAACGTAATGGAAATTGAACTAAGATCATCTAAATCCACTTTTGAGGCCCAAGACAATGAGAAACAAAACCAAACAAACATTTAATTTGGACTCAAAACCAAATGAGTGACTAAAATCTGTTTATAATTCATTGGATGATTTCTCCTTCAGTGATTCTGCTTGTTATCATCAGGTGTCTTCAATAATGCTCAATCATCACTCAATTATTCTCTTAATTATCTCATTAGGGTTAGGGTTATCTCATTAACACTGGGGATTTTGCTGTGAAGTCATAATTTGCTTGTTGAAGTGTTGGAGTGACTATAAGAGCATTTTTGTTTGTTCATCCATTGTTTGAGTCATAATTTGTTAATATTTTTTGTAGCATTTTTGTATGTGCATTTTATTAGAGTGATAATAAATCACCGCTATTGGGCAACCAAACGGCTCGAGTCGGCCCTGTATGCACTGAGACAATGCGTTTGCCCTCGTATCTAAATGAAGGGGAGACGGTGAATGACCAATTTCAAAAACCAGTGGCATGTTCCTTTCATAAAAACCTTTATGAGTTTGACTAATATCCTCTAGATGGCAGTCTGGACACACACATGAAATATCAGTTTTAATGAAAAAACACACGTCAGCGACGAGAAGCATGTTTATTTGAGATGCTGGTCTTTAAAACAATACAAACAATATTAGGTTCCTCCATTAAATATACAGTTGAACAAAATCCAGTCAACAGAGTCAGACAAACACTGAGACTTTCATACATTCAGATACAGATTTTACTGCGTTTAATATTAAAATACTGTTTAGCTGTGAAATTGATACATAAACAACATTTCAATACTCCAGTGAAGCAGATTACATATTATTGCGATGTTACTTTAACCCATTCAGACCCTGTGTCCATTACAATGGACATCACATGTCAGCCCCCTTTTTTTTAACTTCTGGAGCATTTCACCTAGTTTAAAGCCTGCAGTCCATGAGATTGGACGTTTGTCATCCAATCAAATGCCAGAAAAGCTCTGCATGTGGTAATTATATATAAAAAACACTACATTGAAGAGAAGCATGTCAGCACTTCACTCCAAACACAGAAGCAAGCAACATTTTCTAAGTTATATTTACATTTTGTATATATTTTTTCCAGTATTTCATGGTTTGTATGTAAAATAGAAAGATTGAACTTATTAATTAAAGTTAAAAATCGACTTTAGAATTGCACATTTTAAATCAGGATTTTTTTAAATGTGTCTGTCCATTAGAATGGACAGTAGGTTTGAAAGCCTGTTACTGAAGTCACATTTTCAGTAATGCTGATTGAAATTTCTTTTATAAAAAAAAAATAATATCACAGTACCGATACATTTTTGAATTTTTTTCATGTGCAGAATATTTAGTTCTGAAGTGCTTGAACATATAGCTGATGAAAATATCTCAGATGTTGACTTTATGTGGAGTAACGAGGAAGATGAAGATGTAAGAAAAATATCCATATTTAAAACTTTATATAGTAAAATAACTTCTGGCCAAAAGAACGCATGGATTTGACTTAAATCTAAAGCACAACTTAAATATTAATATTTTTAATATTTTATATTAATATATATATTTTTATAGATAGATGCACTTTTATGATGCATAGATCTACTTTTATCATGGATAGATGAACTTTTATGAAGGCTAGATGCACTTGTATCATGGATAGATGCACTTTTATGGACTTTCAAAACAAAAACAACCATTTACAGCCAATATAAAGCTTGGAAGGGTCAGAACATTGTTTAATATAACTCTGATTGTTTTCATCTGAGAGAATGTAATATACACCTAGGATGGCTAGAGGCCAGGGTGAGAGGCCAGGTTAAATCATGGGGTAATTAAAATTTTTGGGTGAACTATCCCTTTAAAGGTATAGTTCACCCACAAATTATATTTGTCATCACTTACTCACTCTCATGTTGTTCCCAACCTGTATGAGTTTCATACCATTTTTATTCTGCTGAACACAAAATAGGTATTATAAAGAATGTCGGTAACGAACAGCTGACAGTGGCCATTGACTTCAATAGTATTTTGTTTTCCTATATATTTTCCAAATAACTATATGATATTATTATAATATAAAATTATCATTATTAGTAACTATTTAGAAAATTACAATAATATTTAGCAGTAATGTATCAATATATATTACAGTACAATGCCGTATAATTGATTACAGCAGTAATCAAATTGTGAAATTACGAAATACAGTAAAAATACAGTAAAGTACTATTTTGTAGTTTGCATTACTGATCTTGTGCACTGTAAAGGGAATTACACTAGGTACTGGAAATCGAAATACAGTGACTTGCTGGCAACCGTCCTGCCAGTACTGTAAAAATACAAGAAAACACAGGATGCACACCGGAAATGACTCTAACATGAATGCATTGATTGATTCCTAGGTTTATTTTATTATGAATCAACAAATGTGCAATATATAAAGAAAAAACCTTATGATTAAAGTTGTAATGTTATAATGTTCAAGTTTTTGATCTAAAAAAAGAAAGATGCACACAGAAAATGACCAGATTGATTGATTCGAAGATATTTAGTTTGTTACAAACAATGTGCAATCTGTAAAACAAAAACCTCAAAATTATAGTTGAAATGGTATACTGCTGGAATTTTTTTGACCTTGAGAAAAAGCTTAAAGTATAGACCAACAAATTTTATGTTTATTAATTTATTTTATGTTGGTACATTTTTCGGAAGTACACCTGTTTTGACCTGATGTCCATTGGAATGGACAAAAAAAATCACAATGAAAGCCATCATATAAAATTTTTTTTTTCATTTGTTTTCATTTATAGAAGCCTCATGAGCTGGGAAAATGTACTTTTATATTTTTCAGAAACTTGAAACATAATTCAGGTCTGAAGGGGTTAAATATTTGAATGATCAAGTTTTCTCCTAAAATGCATTTGCATATGCAGCACAAACATAAATATGCAGGCTAAAATATAGAGTTGCAAGACTAATACAAAATATACAGAGAAATCATAATGTTATTGATAATGATGTTTATGAGCTCATAATGATGGATTATCAGTGTGAGGAGCATCAGATGGTCCTGTATATTAGCAGTAATACAGTTTAATGTGGATCTGCTGAAGTCACTGCTAGAGTCTCATATTCAGGAGATCTGGACTGAGGATCAAGAGTCGTGTAGGTGTCATCAGGAGATCTGGACTGAACAGACTGTGAGAGAGATCAACAACAGACGCTTTATGTGTGGATCTGCTGAATCTGAGTGGAAAAGTGTGTTTGAGACATTTACTGACTGTGATTGTGCTGTAAACGTCAGCAGATGTTCTGGACGCTGGATCCAGAGCTGTGTATGTATCATCGCTCGCGTCAGCCGCCTATAGAGAAAGATTTACACACTTATATTGCTTCATACACACTGTTGTGTTCATAGTTCAATGCAAATACACAGTCTTGCAGTCGTAGATAGAGGTGTGTGTGTTTGCAGACTCGCCCGCTTTTGATTCTCGTCTTCAGTTCCACCTTCTCTCCTCTTCTTCCTCCTGAAAACAGAGAGAAAATTATAATATATCCATTTGATTTAAGATTGATTTTTTTGTGTGTGAATTATATTTAGTGTGCAGATCAACTTCACTTACTTTATGAACACAATGATGATGATGACGATGATGAAGATCAATCCTCCGCATCCCGCCACGATCCCAGAAACTGTGAGCAGAGCATCTCTCTGAACCCCTGAAACAAGATGATCATGAAGATCATTTCACACGCGAGACGAAGAAACTGAAAGAGTGTCTGATTATAGAAAATACCGTTAACAGTGAGAGACACAGACGCTGATCTCCCAGATCCATATTTATTCTGAGCCTCACAGTAGAAGCGTCCACTGAAACTGGAGTTAAAGCTGGAGATGCTGAAACTCTGTCCAGATCCAACAGCTGAGGTTTCCTTCTCCTTAAACCAGCTGAAGTTCACAGCAGGAGGGTTTGAGTCACTGATGCACTTCAGAGTCACTGAATCTCCCTCCACTATTACACCAGATGGACTGATGGACACTGAGACGCTTCTTGGTGCGTCTGAAAGAAAAAACATGTTTTTGCATAACTTACTTTAACCAGATGATCCACTGACTCACATTATGAACTCACACATGACATTCAGCATCACAGCATCAGAGTCTTTCTCTCCATGTGTATTTCTGGATCTGCACTTGTATTCTCCACTGTCATCAGATCTGATGTTTGAGATGCTGAAGATTCTTCCAGATCCTACAATCGTTCCTCCTTTAATCCAGTTTATTTCTGCAGGAGGGTTTGAGTCACTGCTGCAGTTCAGAGTCACTGAATCTCCCTCCACTATTACACCAGATGGACTGATGGACACTGAGACGCTTCTTGGTGCGTCTGAAAGAGACAAAAAGTGTCAAATGACACGATAATAGAGCAAATAATCATCCCGACCTGGTCTAAAATCAAGGCAGACTTACACATGACATTCACTGTCACAACAGCAGAGGTCAGAGATCCATGTATATTTCTAGCAGAGCAATGATAGTTTCCACTGGCCTCAGATTTAATATTAATGAGGCTGAAGGTGTCGCCAGATTGCAGAAGTTTTCCTTCTTTGAACCAGCTGAAGTTCAGAGCAGGAGGGTTTGAGTCACTGATGCACTTCAGAGTCACTGAATCTCCCTCCACTATTACACCAGATGGACTGATGGACACTGAGACGCTCTGAGGAGGATCTGAAATATATTTAAAATATGAAAATAATTACTTTATTCAAGCCATGACCTTCCATTATCTTTATTTTAATACTAATAACAGGTCAAATACTGGAGTCTTTAATCTTTCTAATGATACTCAGTTTGTCGTGACGTGAGGAGAATGAACCACAATAATCAGGGGCCGTCCGAGATCTATGTTCGTTAAAGGGGTTTATGTCTAATAAATAAAAATGTCATGAAGTCTGTATGATCGGGCCTGACATTAACAAACAAATCTGAACTAAACTCTGAATAATCTGTGGGATATTTCACTAATATTAATGAATCATTTGTACTCACATTCAACATTAAGATAAAAAGCAGGAGAGATCAGATGATGATTATTTCCACTTATTTCACATTTATAGTTTCCAGCATCAGAACGATTGACTGACTGCAGATGAAGATTCTCTGTTCGATCAGTTAATATCTGTGTGTTTCTGTACCAGATGAATGTTGTTTGTTGAGGCAGAGAGCAGCTGCTTTTACATCTCAGACTGACTGAATCTCCATCTTTCACTCTCTCCTGTGTCTCCACCTGCAGGTCTGACACAACAACAACAATAACAACAACATCGTCAACAACAACAACATAAACAACAACATCATCAACAACAACATCAACAACAACAACAACAACATAAACAACATCATCATAATCAACAACAACAACAAGATCAACAACAACATCATCAACATCATCAACATCAACAACAACATCATCAACATCAACAACTGATTCAATCTCTTCACATCATCATATTCATGGTGATAATAATACAATGATAATATTCAACACTAAACTGAATCAGTTATATATAAACATGATGTTTCTGTGGCACAGATGATAGTTTATTCAAAAGCTAATAAAATGTTTCTGTGTTTTATTTCTGAGAGTTTATTAGTTTTACCTGTGACATCAAGCCAAGATCCAGGAATCACTGTCCATCTATTCTGCCCGTCTATAAATCTGCAGTAGTAGACGAGTTCATCAGCTTCTGTTACATTCGTCAAAGTGATGCTGTAAGTGTTTATATTTTCACTCGAACACTGAATCCCTCTTCTCTTCTCTGGATCTGAACACAGATCAGGTGATTCTCCAACAGGTTTAGTCCAGAAACCTTTGATGAGTTTGTAACTGGTATATGTTAAAGTACAGGATATTGTCACTGTTGATCCCTTTAATGCACAAACATATGGAGGACTGTAATTCACTCCCCAACCCTGCAGACCATCAACCCCTGAAACACAGAAATGAGGAAAATAATTAAAGATGCTTTCAGCAACAAACACAGAAATCTTTAGTTTTATTTCTGCACTTTTCATAACACACAATCAGATTTCAGTTGGTGTTTATTAGGGACGTGTCTGAAGCCGAATACTATGTTCGGAAAGGAAATGACGCGTTCTACGGGGTCCATAAAGGGACATGGTGATGGAGAAAAAATATGAGATGGGAGGACAAAATATATTTCAATGCTTTTACATTCTCTCGTAATTATATGTGTTAATTATATATTGTATAATTTTATGGCATGAGCACAGGTGTATGAGGTCACAGACTCACCATTGATAAAAGCAGTGGATCAAGACGGGTTAACCAGACAAACTCAAATTAACCAGCACAGGTGTATAAAGTCACAGACGTGCAAATAAAATGTATTTCATCATTTTATGATTTAATATTTATTTACTGACAGATATATTTTTAATTTCACTGTGTGTTCGGGTTGAGGGAGAATAAAACGATTTGCGGGACTAGATATATCTATGAATAAAACATAAAAATTAACACAATTTTTATTCATCCATTGCAGAAAAGCAACAACAACAACTAGAACAAAATAGAAATGATTTACAGGCCAGAGTTTCTATTCATCACATGTTTGCAGCGTTGAGTGATGTAGCCAATCACAGACATATGTGTTGATTTCTTGAACGCAATGGCCAATCAGAAGCGTTTACGATAGACTTTCCTCACCGCTCAAAACTGACTTTTTGTTCAGTGATGAATTCTGTGTGCTGGAAAATCCTCGAATTATAACAAACAAAGAGTGGATATTATGAAATATTCATTGATAATAACAGAGATGTGTGAGATTGCGATGAACTGATGTCAGCTTTTTAGGAATTATTATGGGAGTCGTGCCGAACCATGCATGACTAGCCTGCTTGTTTTTATGTTATAACAGTGGTTTGTGTGTTCCCTTTCAAGGCGGTCACTTCGACATTACGTCATACTGACGTATATGGGAACTACCCCTTTCTCCATTTCCACTGAAATCTTATAGGCTAACGCCAGCTGGAGACAGCTGGCCAATTGACGCAAACATGCAAATGCTGACCGGTCCACGGGCAGTATAAATAGCATGGGCGCGCCAATTGCGTCAGAATCTCTTTCTTCACGCTAGAAGTCTTATTGAAGTCATCGTGGAAGTTGCAATAGAGGTTACTCACCACGTTTCCTCCCCGCATCCGATGGCTGCTACATGCCAGATGTGCGGGTCCTTGACTCGCTCTACCCTACAAGGAATCTACAGAAGCCGCACTCGCGGAACGACAGGTGTGCTGATCTTCCAATGCGCGCCTCAGCAGGGATGAGGCCCACTGCCGCCAGCTGGCCGCTGGTGGGCCCTTACCCGCCCAAAGTCGAGTGGACGTCGCTTTCTCGACGCGATAGGCTTCGTCGAAAAGGGATCCTAGCACGGACTCTGTGTTCGGTATCTCAGCCCGCCAATCGGCCCCGAACCCGAATGAACCGGTTCCTCACCGTTGATCAGAGGGCGGGACCGGGAATGTGGCGACTCGGGCCACGGAGAGCGCCGCACCAGACAGTGGGTCCTTCCCTGGCTGCCTCTCGGCACCTGCTCAGGCCTTAAGTGCTGGATTCTGAAATTAACCATGTATTCACAGCTGTTGTCGCTATGCCACGGACGCTGTGTCTATGTGCACGCTGATATGTGCTATATTAACGGTAACGCCAGTGCACCTGGCCAATCTGTTAATCACGATTCACAGTTGTTGTCGCGACGCCACTGACGCTGTGTTTATGTGCACGTTGATATGTCTTGTACTACTGTTGTGCCCTTAAATATTGCCCCGTTTTCCATCGGGCCATTCTGTTTATCCTATGTGTTAATCACGATTCACAGTTGTTGTCGCTACGCCACTGAAGCTGTGTTATGTGCACACTGTTAGGTGGTAATATTACTAACAGTGCAGTTGAGCGGCCGCGCCGTCCTCGAGCCCCGTCCCCGGGTGCCTCGAGCGGAGCGAGTCCCGTGTCTTTCCCCCATCAGGGCGGTTCCATTCTGATTATTAATCACGTATTCACAGCTGTTGTCGCTACGCCACTGACACTGTGTTTACTCGCAATGTGCACGGATATGTGCTGTGATTTGTGCCATTATATAGTGCCCTGTTCCTTCAGTGCATATGGCTTTTCTATTACTAACGTTACGTGTTCACAGCTGTTGTGCGATGTATTGATAACGCTGTTATTATGTGCACGCTTCACACTGATGTGTTAACATGATTCATGCCGCTAAAATTGCCCTGTATCTTCAGTGCAACTGGCTTCTGTTCACGGTTGTGCTATGCACTGACGCTGTGTTATTACACTGTTATGTGTGTTATGATGTGCCACGATATTGCTCTGTACCTTCAGTGCAACTGGCCAGTCTGATTACTATGTATTCACAGTTGTTGCGTTGCCGCTGTTATGTGCACTCTTATGTGTGTTCTTTGCCACGATATTGCCCTGTGCCTTCAGTGCAGTTGGCTATTCTGATTACTACATTTTCACAGTTGTTGTGTTGCAACGGGCGCTGTGTTACATAAGCACTTCACACTGTTATGTGTAGGATTTATGCCAGTATTCTTGCCCTGTATACTTCAGTGCAAATGGCTATTCTAATTACGAAGCAGTGTGTATTCATAGTTGTTGTGCCATGCAACTACGCCGTGTTATGTATTCACTACACTTGGTATGTGTTGAATTTGCCATTGTATATTGCCCTGCTCCTTCAGTGCAAATGGCTATTGTATTTCTACATATTCACAGTTGTGGCGAGATGCAACTACGTTTTTACAAGCTACACTGTTACATGTAATGATTTATGCCTTATATATTGCCCTGTGCCCTTCAGTGCAAATGGCTATTCTATTACTACACTGTGCATATTCACAGTTGTCGTGTGATACAACGGGCGCCGTGTTTATGTACACTCTACACTCTGTGGTGTTATGATTATGCCGCTGTACACTGCCCTGTGTCCTTTAGTGCAAATGGCTATTGTATCACTACATATTCACAGTCGTTGCGCGATGCGACTACGTTTTTACAAGCTACACTGTAACACACTGTTACATGTAATGATTTATGCCATTATATATTGCCCTGTGCCCTTCAGTGCAAATGGCTATTCTATTACTACACTGTGCATATTCACAGTTGTCGTGTGATGCAACCGGTGTCCTGTTGATAACCACTCTACACACTGTGGTGTTATGATGTGCTAATGGCTATTCTGATTATGTGCACAGTTGTGCGTCACAACTGACGCGGGGTACATGCTAACTCACTGATGTGTTATGGTTACGCCGTTAATTTTGCCCTGTATCCTCAGTGCAACCGGCTATTCTGATGCAGCTACTATGTATTCACAGTCGATGTCGCTATGCCTCTGACGCAAAAAAGATTAAGTTTTTGTGCACACTAATGTCACTATGCTATCGCGTTGCCCTGTATCCTTCAGTGCTCCATGGCTATACTATCCAACTGTGCCTAGTCACAGTTTTTTCGCTACGGCGACTTGCGCTGTTTGCGCGCGCACTAAAGCGTAATGCTGTTATGTTGCCAACGTAACTGACCACAGTGAACACATGGCCGAGTGGTAGCACTTTCGGTTAGAACATATAATGACATGGGTTCGAAGCCCGATTAAAATGATGTTGTTCTGCACATATTCATGCAGTTTCAGTCGCTTCGGTGGCCCGCACCGAATTTTTCCCACGGATGTTTAAGTGTACACACTGTTGGGTTATGCTGTTATGTTCTCTTCCTCAGTGCAACTACCAGCTACCCTCTAACTGCATATTCAGTTTTGTTGTTATGGCGACTACACTGCACGTACAAGGACGTGTTTTTTGCTATTCTTGCTCTGTCCCTTCAGTGCAAAACTAGCTATTCTATCTAACCATGCATTCCACAGTTCTGGATGTATGTACGTGACGGAGGTTTATGCTGTTTGCTGCCTTGTTCCTCAGTGCAGCTTGCCATCCTATTTACTTGCATCTTAGTTCTGTCTACACAGTTCTGTCGCTACAGCGACTTACGCTGCATATACAAATGCAAGGATGTGACACTTATGTTATGCTGTCTGTTGCCCTGTATCTTCAGTGCAACTAGTTATCCCAGTCAACTGTGCATTTCACAGTCTCCGATAGGTGGCTGCGATGTAATATCTACACGTGGATGTATTCATGAACAGCGGTGTTGCCCAGTGTCCTTTAGTGCCTATACTGAGCTATCTGCGTTCAATGAGGGAGCTACGGCTACCGATGCTGTTACGTGCATGTGCTACGCTGTTATGTTGCCTCCAGTGCAACTGGCTATTCTACTTTGAATAGACTGACCCTATTCTATTTCTGACGGCGTATATTCACAGTTGTTGTTGCTATGGCCAATGACACTGTGTTTATGTACACTCAGTATGTGTTGATTGCACTTCTTACATTGGCTTGGAACATCGCTATGTCCTACAAGGAAGTGTCAGTTTCTCGTACCCGCTTGCTGGAATGGAAGAGGGCAAGTGTGGAGGTGGCAAGCACATAAGACGCCTGCTGGTGATCAGACCGTCGTGAGTTCCACTCAGAGTCTCTCTGGGTGGGTATATATAATCCAGATTGCGCCGTGCCGCGGTGGAGCTCTGGAAGTACTAGACCTTCAGGATAAAACAGGCTGGTTTTCTGGAAGTGCACCCCAGAGCAGGGTGCAGCTTTCCTGGGCTTGAGACCAGCGCACATGCCGGATTGGGTGATGGTGGTGTCAATATGAAAACTTTAAAACTTATCACCCCCGGTTCACAGACTTGTGAGTTATGGGGGGCCTACGACAATCCCCCTCGGGTAGATTCTGTTCTACAGACGATTGGCACTCCTGCCCTCAGCTGTGGAACCTTCGTATGTGTCTGCTGCTGAGTCCATAGTTGAGCAAGACACTTCACACTAACAAGTGCTC